CAGCTATTCCCAGCACTCTAAACTTGTCAAAATTCGTTTTACTAAAATAAACTGCGGACCACTCAAAGTGTCGCGACCATAAAGTTCGTTCTTTTTCAAAACGACATAACTTTTTTGTTTCTTGAACGATTTTATTTTGGTCTTTGATGTCTCCTAGCCCCATCCTCTGGCTTGGAATCGTAGCAACAAAAATATGATTTTTTTTTCTAAAAGAGTACATTTAAGGCTTTTTTGTAGGCAATTTAACAGCCGGGAATTGTTTTCGAATTTTTATTCTTAGTGATTTTGGTTTTATCAATCAGGAGGTCAAAATTATAAAGAAAACATGTCACGAACGTAAATATCCGTTCAGGATTGGTTTTCGCAAATTTTCATTTTTAAAAAAGTTGTCTTTGCTTAGGCCCCTCTGAAAATAACGAAAGTTTGTTACTTGTCGCTTGTTCAGAATTATTCAAGGAACAATCATTCACCATCTTATCTCCTTGTTCTTAAAAAGACTGATCAGTCAGGCTTTTTGGTAGGCAATACACTCGAGTGTATTGCCTACCAAAAAGCCTTAAATGTACTCTTTCTTTAAAAAAATCATATTTTCTTTGCTATAAGATTCCAATACGAAAAAATTGAAAAACTTTTCAAGGTAAGACATAATACTTCATTATTTCAAAGTAAAAACGAGAAAAAAATTATTTTTTTACAAACGGGGCTTGGATGAAGTTATTGAAATTTTTGACCGTTTTACATATCACCCTGTACGAAATTTACTTAAAGAATTCTTCTCACGTGAGCTTCATATCTATAGCATGAATAGCCAGAGGATGGGGCTAGCAGAAATCACAGACCAAAATAAAATCGTTCAAGAAACAAAAAAGTTATGTCGTTTTGAAAAAGGACGAACATTTTGGTTGCGACACATTGAGTGGTGCGCAGTTTAGTTCAAAGCACTCTAGATTGATCTTTATGATGATGCATTTTCTGATGACGAAACGTCGAAAGGTCAATTTGAGGATGCTGTTAGACTCAGAATTTACTCAGGCCTCTAAATATGTAAAAATATATAGGGCGTTCCATTTAAAAATCGAAAGTTGATATCATTTCCGGCGAAACCGAAAGTTCAAAAAATTCATTTTGTACTCTTAAGAGTACAAATTATAATTATAATGCCGGTTTTCCACTAAACGAACAGTTAAGTTTGGGTTTTGTTTGTGTTTTTAAAAATTTGCAAATCAAAAACAAAACTGAAACAAACCCGAAACTCTTGTTTCCATCAAGCAAACTAAGTTTTGTTCGAGTTTTGTTTTTGTTTTCGGTCCTTTTCCACTAGTTGTCGTGATTATGTCAGAACACAGTTTTTCAGTATTAACCAACATGTTTAGAGAAAATTTTCTTATTCTTAGTTGTGGCTGGTTTATATACTTCTTATACTTCTTCGTGAATAACTTTTGAAGAATTAAATTAATTAAAACATCAAATTATGACTAAAAATCAAAAATAGCGATGATAGACCTCTAAAATAAAATTAATATTAATATTAAGGGCTCAAATTTTCACCAATTTTTTTTTTGTCATTCTGAATCATCATTCTCGATATATTTTTCAAAAAAAAATAGTCAATTTTTTTGGCCCAGTCTAATATATATATATATATATATATATATATATATATATATATATATATATATATGTATATATGTGTATCTATTAAACTTATCCATGACATTTTACTGCCGAGGCAGTAGGTTAACCTATTGTGTGCGAGGTAATTAATAAGCTTTCGCCGCCGTGTTTTATATACTATTTTTTTTCAAGCTCTAACCCTAATAACACAAGTATATACTAGAAACATGCCAGAAACATATGCATGCGACAATAGAAACATCCCAGGAATGACCCTATTTTCCCACAGATATACCAGAAATGTTTCTGGCAATGACCATGTCGCCCTTTTTAACGTCCCTCGGCCATCCTTTTGGGATGTTTTGAGATCATCTTAGAATGTTGTAGGTATGTCTTTAAGACATTTTATATTTACTTTCAGAACATAACAGAAATGTTTCATACAAAACAGTTATGTAATTTTTATAGGTTTTTTCCTTAAATAAAAAACATTAAATACTTTTATCATTTAATTAACATAAAACCATTAACATAACCGAAAATACGCATAAATAAAAATAAATAGATAGAAATTTACAAAACTCTTCATCGATGAATCCGCAAAAACTCGTTTGAGACATTTTTGACAAAATCGATTTTTTTTGCATAATTAAGTACTTACCCCATATAATGCACATGATCGTAAAACCTCTTATCTCCCAAGATAATCTCAAGACCCTTAAAAACAAATTAATTTGTCCTATAGGTATATTTAAGCCAGATATGAGAGCTTTTAATGTTTTTTTCGTCTCCTGTAAAACTACAGTTTTTTTCATACAAGGTTTTGCGGATTCGACGAGTTATTACCTACCTAAAACAGCTTTAGAAATCTTGGATTGGCTAATCTTTTTCCCAATAAAGAAAAAATGTTGTGCGACCTGGTCTGAAATAAAATCATACAGGTTATTGCCACCACAAAAAATAAAACCTTAAAAAAGAAACTAATATAGAATTTAATTATAATAATATTTATAATGTTTTCTTACCAAATCATCATAATTTACTTACCCAAAAAGACGCCTCAGGCCACCCACACAAAACAACTTAAGTGTACAACATAAAATTTAATTTAAGTCTTAAATTACTGTAATCACATTATAAAACGAGAAGAAAATTCTCGACACAGAACGTTCTCGATTTTCACGAAATGTCATTCTTGGCAATACTATACTATACTCTATGAATAAAAGCCGCGAACCTACAGAGATGCCGTTGGTTATAAAACAAAATTCCCCAGGTAACAATCAATTAAAAAATATCTAGTATGACGACATTGTTCGCGGTCAATTTAAAAATTACAAAGTTATTAATATTATAAGAATTTGGTGTTTTTGCTAAATTGATAGGTTATTTTTTTTAATAAAGTATGTTATGTGTTTTGATCATATACCTATAGGTATATGGTTTTGATATAAATTTATTTAATATTTGTAACAAGTTGGTTACAAAACAAAACAAAATTCCCCAGGTAAAAATCACTTAAAAAGTAACTAGTACGACGTCATTTTTCGCGGTCAATTTAAAAATTACAAAGTATAATAATTTGGTGTTTTGCTAAAAATTGATTGGTTATTTTTTTAATAGAGTGTGTTATGTGTTTTGATATAAATTTATTTTATATTTGTACCAATATCAGCTATTTAAAATGTTTATGCAACATCTTGGTGTTTTTGCTAAATTGATAGGTTATTTTTTTTAATAAAGTGTGTTATGTGTTTTGATATAAATTTATTTAATATTTGTAACAAGTTGGTTACAAAACAAAACAAAATTCCCCAGGTAACAATCACTTAAAAATTTTTAAGTAACTAGTATGACGTCATTGTTCGCGTTCAATTAAAAAATTACAAAGTATAATAATTTGGTGTTTTGCTAAAAATTGATTGGTTAGGTATTTTTTTAATAGTGTGTTATGTGTTTTGATATAAATTTATTTTATATTTATACCAATATCAGCTATTTAAAATGTTTATGCAACATCTTGGGGAAATCACACCAGAAATGTTACTGAGGAAACATCGCAGGGATATACGATTTAAGTCCGAAACATTGGGGCATAAATAGTACATAAATTGTATGTTTCTGGCATGTATTGTGTTATCTGGGAAATTTCGATATTTTTTTGAAATTTTGTAACCTCATTTTTAGGTTAGGTTTAACTGTCAGACGACAAAATGTCACCATTATTGTTCGGCGGTCAATAATAATTTGACTTTTGAACTAGTACAATAATGTAGTGACTACTAGTTCAAAAGTTAAATTATTATTGACCGCCGAACAATAATGGTGACATTTTGTCGTCTGACAGTTAAACCTAACCTAAAAATGAGGTATGAAATTCGTATCTATTCGTAACTAAATTGTAGTATTTCTATATAGACTTATGAGGAATATAATATGAATATTATTATACACTTGGAAAAAATATGTTTCTTACTTATAAGTATACCTACCAATTTAGTATGAAATTCGTATCTATTTGTAACTAAATTGTAGTATTTCTATATATAGACTTATGAGGAATATAATATGAATATTATTATACACTTGGAAAAAATATGTTTGTACTACTACTTAGGTACCTACCAATTTAGTATGAAATTCGTATCCAGACTAACAAAATAAAATAAAAGTCGAAAACAAAAAACACAACACGACCGTTTCCACTAAACAGACTCGAGTTTCAAAACACGTCGAAACCTTTTGATGTTACCGCTTTCGAGCGGGACTCGAAAAACAAAACTCAAACTGTCGCAAAACACGCCAGTCTTCAAAAAGTTTGCAAAAAGTTGCAGTTTTGTTTTATTCGACACGAGTTTGTGTTTTGTTTTTGTTTTGTCCGTTTGGTGGAAAACCGGCATAAGAGTGACATTTTATATCCTAATTAACCATGCTAAATTTAATGTGTCTATCTTAAAATAAAAAAGTTACAGGGGTACCCCTGTAACGCACGTGCGCCTATTCTCATATACACCCGGTATATGCATATACTTAAGTAATTACCTATTTTTATTTAAAAATAATGGTCGTATTTACATATTATTTTTTGTTTACCTACACTATTTAAGAGCGTATACGATTTCAAATCTTTGTGAAATATTTGCCGATGAATGTACTTTTATTACGATAAATCCTGAATAGGATTGCATAAAAAATGCGGTCATTAACACAACTAAGATAAATGCATCCATTCCAAGGTTAAAAACACGAATGCAATAATTTGGTTTAAGTAAATATGGGAAATTAAACAAAATTTTGGTACCTACCTAAAAAAATTAAAATAAATAGCTATTTATTTTAATTTTTTATGACCCTGATAAGTAATAACTGATTTAAAAAATACTTGCCCGTTTTTAAGGTTTTAAAGGTCCTAATAGTGCTATTTTTCCATTTTAATTCAATAATAGCCCAACAAGGAAAATTTATTAAATGGAGTGATAAACAGACTGTTTCATTTTTGCCATTAATTAAAGTTTTTGGCAATGATAATAAAAATCCGCGTTCTTTTTCAGAAAATCTACGAAATATTATTTTAAAAATTCGTCGTACCTAATTATTTATTATTTTCTTACCTTTCCTCACAAAACACGAAATTAATAAATAAAAACCACAAAATAATATTCATTTTAACTAAACTATTGATGCATTTCACATATTATCTGTGCATACTATTCTCATGAAGAAGCCTTTAATAGAACCGAAGTAAAAATACCTAAACACTGTTTACCAAACATTCATTTATAATTATCTTGTATTTCCTCTTGTGTTGAACTTTGACATAAAACGCTGTTACAGTATTTTAACTAAGCTAATATTCAACGCCACTATTATGATTGCTAATCTCTCAATGCTTCATTTTAAAACAAAACCTTCATTTGCATTTTTCAAATTTCCCTCCTCGTTCAGAATAGTTCAAATTCAGTTGCGCGTAGATCTAACGCACGCACCGGGAGAAATGTCAAGTTGACGTTTCTCGCCTAAAAATGATGTAAACCGAAGTAAATGAAGTAATTACCGCGTTTGCTGTTATTTAGATTAATTTAAACATGGGCCAGCAAACCAACTACATCCTGTTCTTCATCTGGTTAAGTTATTTAATAATTACTTCGATTTTACTATTCACTAGAGGCTTTCTACTATCCAGAGAGGTGCAAAACAATAATTCTACCTGTTTATCACATGAAGATGTTCCCTGTCCGGAAGGACAATCTTATTTAAACAACATTACTAACGGAAATGAAAACCAATGCCATTACAATGAGAAAATACTTAAGATAATCGATGAAATGCCTAATGCTGGAGGTATTTGCTTGCCTCCAAAAGCCAGAGTGGTTTTGCTTATTGTAGATGCCTTAAGGTATGATTTTACTGTGTATGATAAAAAAAATGAAAAACCGACATTCTATCAAAACAAGTTGCCTATAATACATGAACTGAGGGAGAAATACCCCACATCTACAAGACTGTATAAATTTATTGCTGATCCACCCACAACAACAATGCAGAGATTAAAAGCATTAACTACAGGTAGTTTACCTACATTTATTGATGCTGGGTCTAATTTTGCTACTTATGAAATTAATGAAGACAATCTTATAGACCAGGTAATTTTTAAAAATTTAAGTTAAAAATCTTTTCCAAATAAAGGAAAAAAGTATTTGAGTAAATCTATGACTAAAAAAGTACCTACCTAGGTATTTAACTATGGATAGGTGTTTTAAAATTTCATTTAATCAAAAACTTATTAATTGAAGGGGCAAGTGGATAAAGGATTTTAGCTCGGATTTTAGTACCATTTTAAATAATAAAGAACAAACAATTTTGTAGTTGAAATTGAAATTTTTTGTTTAAAGGTGTCCTGTAATATTTAAATTAAAAAAGAATAGATAATATTGGGATTGTAAATATAAATGTTTTTTTTTCTATTTGAATACCATAATAAGCACAATACCATATGCATTTTCGTTTCATATTTTCTTTGTGGCAACATATTTACATATCATACTGTTGTGAAAAGATAGTATAAACAACTCTTGTCATAAAACATGTTCTCTCAGTCGTCCATTACAAAATTCGCTCCTTCGTCGGTCGTTTTGTAAATTATCCTTGTGCGAAAAAATGACATTAGTTCTTTAATAATATGAAATATTTAAAACCTATAGGTAGTATACTATATTTGTATTTTTAAGCTATTACTATGATAGGGTATACCCCTTTCAGACCCCTGTATACAGGGGTCTGAAATCCTCACAAAAACTGTGATGTGGGGGTATTAAACGCGATAGATGTAACCACTCTTGCTATGTAATTTCAATGTATTTTCATTATTGTACGGCGGTGTATAATATTTCTATATATGCTTATGAGTAGGTATTATAATAAGAAAATTATCATATGCTCGAAAAAAAAGTAAATTTTATTCTTTGTAACTTATTACTAAGATCCCGGGTTTTTTCGGGATCGGATTTTTAACGGGATCCCGTTTGTTTCTAGTAACCTAAGCATGGTATTATTTTTGGTCAATTTTTAACGCAACAATATATTTTTTTAAGTACTTTGGACTATATACTTGATTTAATTTAAGGTTCTTACAATTGTACTTGTACAGCCAATGTATTTGTGACCTTTCAAAAATTAAATAAAAACAAGGATATTTTTTTAAATTTACTTACTATGGACTGAGTATGTACTTTTGTACTTGTCTACTGTATAACTTTGTATTTTGTGTAATCATTATATTTTATTTTAGTTAAATAGAAACAACTATAAAACTGTATTTATGGGTGATGATACCTGGGAAGGCCTTTATCCCAATAGATTTTTAAGAAACTACCCCTTCCCCTCTTTTAATGTATGGGATTTGGACACTGTAGATATAGGGGTGACTGAAAACTTATTCCCTGAATTAAAAAAATCTGATTGGAACTTACTTATTGGCCATTACCTTGGCGTTGATCATGTTGGGCACAAACATGGGCCAAGTCATCCTGAAATGAGCAGAAAGTTGGGAGAAGTTAACGAAGTTATCGAGTAAGACCATATATAAACAATTAAAACTACTAATTTTAAACTGATTTTTTTAAATTTTAGGAGAGTAGTTAAAGAAATTGATAAAAATACTATGTTATTTGTAATAGGGGACCATGGTATGACTGTTACAGGTGAGTTTTTTTAATTCTTTGTGTAATAAATAATTACACTTTATTTATATATTTAGGAGATCATGGAGGTGAAAGCACAGATGAGGTGACAGCTGGAATGTTTGTTTACTCCAAGGAAACTCTTTTTAAATTTCAAAAAGATTCAGACAGTGTCAAACAAGTTGATCTTGTACCCACACTTTCTGCAATCTTGGGAATACCAACGCCTTTTCAAAGTCTTGGAAATATAATCCTAAATTGTCTCCCAATAACAAATAAAACCAACCAAATTGAGGAATGGAAATTTGCCATGTTTTCCATGTGGGCTAATGTGCAGCAGGTTTTTGAATACATTAAGGTGTACAGTGAGAAAAGTGACACATTTAAAGTTAAAAATTTAAAGTCTTACTTTGAGAAATACTCTGTATTAAATTCAAAGTTACTTACAATCAACTCTGAAGTTAAATTTACGGAGTTTTCTAGAGAATTATCCGAATTTATTGCCAGCCTAAGAACTATGTGTGAGGAAGTATGGGTACAATTTGACTCACATTTGATGTCAAGAGGTCTACTTTTTTTATTTTTATCAATATTCTTTGTTTACACCATTGTGGATGGTATTCCTCTAGAAAATTTGCCTCACATTTTCAAAAGTTCTTTTGTTTTGTTCTCTTTTGGTTCCATGTGCATTGCCACTATATTTGTTTGTGCTTTAAAATACTTTGAGATTATTGATGAGTTACTTTACAATGTATTCTTTATAAATGGAGTTGTGTCTCAGGTGATGCTTGTGATGCTAATAGTACAAAACTGGGAGGTGGTCAGCGAGACCTGGCATGCTAGAAGAAAATTAAACAAAACAGTTAACACAATTTGTAGATTCATAATGGTTTTTAACGTTTGCGGTGTGTTTTCCAATAGCTATATCATTGAAGAATCATTTGTCTTGATGTTCCTCCTGGTAACTGTTATTTTACTGGGCACCATAGGAATTGGAGCGCCGACTCCAGTAGCGGATCCAAAGAAAAATAAGGAAAACACCTTGATTCGTTGGTCCAAAATAAAATTATTCTTCTTGGCCCTTTGTATAGCTGGGTTAGTAAGGTGTACTTTATATTTCTGGAGATGCAGAGAAGAACAACAATGGTGTTTTGCAATGCCTCATGAAGTCAATAACATCACCTCAAAAATGGAAACTTCCAAAGTGCAATTCTTCATTACTTTAGTTTGTTTGGGACTATTTATTTTTGTAACCAAGGTTTGGTTAAGGGAATGCGGCAATCTCAATGGTTACGCTATTAACGTTATCATGGCAAAATATTTGCCTTCAGTTTTGGTTGTGTGCATAGCGGGTTATTGGGGCTTAAGCAAGTACCCTCAGCAACAAAAGAAGAACACCCCATACATCCCGGAAAATTTTTTGGCCTGGTCCGTCTATGGTTTTGCTTATTTCGGTTTATTAACCATTATTTTTGATCCTCTATGCGTTTACATATTGCCCAGAAAAGATGGAGAAATCTATGAGGATAATCTTGACACTAAAAGTAACATAATACCTCAGATATTCAATAGGATGAAAAAAGCTTACTCCGAAAAAAGGTCCAAGGATGGTATACCCATAGTGTGTGGTTTGGGTACAGTTTACAGTGCCGTATATGTTATATGCGGAATTTATGTGACTTTGATTTTCTGTCTTTTGTTGGGAGATTTTGTAGCACCCAGTGCTGTTATAATGTTTTTAACAGCCGGCTTTGTGTTAATTATTACATCAGTTATAAGAATACAACAAGCTAATACCATTGGTAAGATTTATAAGGGTTTCTACATTGTTGGGTCAAAATTAAAAGACAGTTCCCAGAAATTTTAAAAATGTCAATTAATTGTCACTCTAAATAGATGAAAATTAATGCACTGTGAATTCACTGTGAGTTCATACACAGAGTTATCTTTTTTTATTAATTTTTATAAGAAATTATACCTATCCTATTGAAACAAATTTGAAGACCGAAATGTAAAAATTTGAGATAACACTTGAGATAACATTACCCCTGAATGTAGCTTTTTTTTTATTGAAAAAAAGGTATGCTTAGTAGAGTAATTAAAAAAGAATATGTTCTTAAAAAGCTAAATAAAACAAAAAAATATGTTTAAAAGAATAAGTGTAGTTTTTAGCTATCCCCGTTTTGAATACTTTTTTTATTATTGTCTCAACGCACTTGAAAAAAGTTTAAGAAAAACGTATTTAATGCACTTACATCTTAAATGCTATTATAATATAGGTATTGGGCTGTGATTAGGTCTACCTACTGCAAGAGTTTCAACTTAATATTTTCACATATTCAATGTTTTGGACAATGCTATTTTGTTGACCAAAAATGTAGAAACCGTTTCTTTTAATATTGTTTTGTTTACTATTTTTATATTCTAGAATCCCTTTTCGACATTCCAAACATCTCAATCTTAGTATGGGTCATCCTGTCGCAATACTTTTTCTATGGCACTGGTCATCAAACAGCGTTCCCCAACATAAACTGGAACTCAGCATTCGTAGGACTACGCAACGTTCCGATGTTAAACTACATACCTGCCACCCTTGTTATTGTAAACACGTTCTGTTCCCACATGCTAATGGGTTTTTTGCTACCACTGGTGTTGATTGCTCCTTTTAACGTATTTGTCATGATTCCTTCGGTTGTTGGTAAAAAACACGATCTCCAGACGGCCTCGCAACGCGGTGAAGTTTTGCTGTACGAGAGGGATGACGTTATGATTACGTCTACGTTCACGTTAGCCTGCAAATACGTTATGTGCCATGGTTTAAGGGTGAGATTTGTATTTATTTAAAACTAAAAACGTTTTTCTGTAATAAGAGGTTCTACATAAAACACATCACACTTTTTTGAGGGGTTTACCGACGAAGTGTGAGATTGGAGGATGGGATCGTGCGTTTCGTCACACCAAACAAATAAAAAAAATTTAATTTTCGTGTTTTGTAATAAAAATATTTATTTCGTCACTGTGACGTGTAACCTTGCGGGGGGAGGTTCAAGACTTTGTGACAATATGTGACAGGTGGCGGGAGGCGTCTAAAATCCCCCAAAAATGTGACGTACTTTATGCACGACCCCTAATTAAAAATGGGGATTTAGGAAAACTACTATTATTTAAAAATATAATATATCAATGGTCTTAAAAATAACACTGTGCTACATTGATTCTGAACTTTGTGGCCTAGTGTAGGTCTTGTTAAGTACTATAGTATCCCAACCCTTTTTTTTCACATTCTTTTTTTTTAATTTAAATTAAAAATTAATAAATTGAAAATTATTGTTACAAAGTTGTTTTTGGGAAAATTTACGAACTAACCGATTTCCTTTAATTCCGTTTAAATGCGCTACTAATAATACTTTAATAGCATGAAAATAAGTTAAGCGCAGAATTAGGTCGTTTAGAGTCCAAATCTTTTTTAAAATGTTCTCATATATTTTAGTTAAATAGAAACAACTATAAAACTGTATTTATGGGTGATGATACTTGGGAAGGCCTTTATCCCAATAGATTTTTAAGAAACTACCCCTTACCTTCTTTTAATGTATGGGATTTGGACACTGTAGATATAGGGGTGACTGAAAACTTATTACTCGAATTAAAAAAAATTGATTGGAACTTATTTATTGGCCATTACCTTGGCATGGGCTTTTCTCACAGTCACCTTTTTTAATTTTAATTAAAAATTATTCTTACAAAGTCGTTTTAGGGAAAATTTACGAACTAACCGATTTCCTTTAATTCCGTTTAAATTAAAAAATACGCTATTAATAATACTTTAAGAGCATGAAAATAAGTTAAGCGCAGAATTAGGTAGTCCAAATATTTTTTTAAATTTTCTCATAACATAATAGTTGTACGAGTTCTGCATGTTGATTAATGCAAACAATATTAAAACCACAACCCACACAACACGTTGTGTGGGTTGTGATTAAAACAATCATCCAGATTTTTGTATATAAGTAGCAAAAATTTTAAAAGTTAATAACTTTTTTTGCACTTGTACCCTTTTGCTTCTTAAGATGGAATTATAGTTTTAAAGGTAACGGTAGAGGTAGCCGTATACCGCTACCTCTACGTTTCAGTTGGCAGTCTCCCCTTGTAAGTTTAGTGTTTATGCGAGGGGCAACTAGACTTGATAAATTGTCAAAAATGGGTACTGTCATTCGTGTGTACAGGGTCCGTCATTCGAAGTGTTACCAATTAAAAATGCGGTAGTTTCGTTAATCGGGAATCTTTTTATTTTAAATTTTAGGACACTGTTAAAAATACATTTTATTGTTCAATATGGCCAACTCTGGCGCGAATGATGGCATCAAGTCTTCTGTTGAAGGCATTGCGCTGATTTCAATGTTGCCACACATTCATATTTTTTTGTAGACACCTTAGACTCTAAAATGGACCATATAGAGAAGTCAATCGTATTTAGGTCTGGTGAGTATGGATGCCACTGTTCCGAAGAAATGAACAATGGAACGTGATTTTGTAAAAATTGCTGGGTCAAACGAGCTTTATGTGCCAAGTCCTGTTGGAATGTTCAGCGGCTAGCACCAAATAGATTACGTGCCCAAGGGATTAACGCATCATTTAACACTGTTTGTTGTCGCCCTCGTCGATAAAAATAAACGCAGAACGAAAATTTGCAGTTACAGCAGCCCAAACCATCACAGACGCAGGCGCTTGTTTACGCATAGCAACTTGGTTGTCCAAATTGTCGTTGGACTTGCCCTCTAACCACACACGATCATTTTGTTTGTTTACGAATTGTTGAACGGTAAAAAAAAATTCATCAGAAAATACAAAATGTTCAAGTTCACAATCTGTGCCGGAGTTGAATATCTTGTAGGGTTTTAATTGAAGTTCATTTTCCACTATGCGCCGTATGCTTGAGTCGGACACGTTCAGATTTTTAGCCAATTTTCTTGCGCTCTGACGTGGATTTCGTTGAATTCGAGCCCTCACTCTTCGAACCATTTCTGCGGATGTTGCTGTTTTTCTATGACCGCCTTCATGTCGTTTTTTGATGCTACCAGTATCATTGTTTTGCGCAATGGTTCACACGTAAATGATGGAGCTGGTTTTTTTTTCCGGTCAAATATAATGCAATAACACTATTACGTTGAATTCCATTTGGAATGTTTGTTAAGGTTACGACGTAAAACGATATGCTTCGGTAGGCTTGTAATTACCAGTAATTAATTTTAAGTTTTGTGATCTGTGGTAATTACAAGCTTTAAAGCTTGACAGAATATCGGTTGTCAAAAGATGACAACTTTGTCATCAACTGTTCAGTACCCTATTAAAAACGCCATATAGAAACACAAAATAAAAATCTATATGGTTCTATCTGGTTCAATATAGGAATTTGAAACAGGCATTGCACTATTGAACCAGATAGAATTCCATACCTGAAAAACCATATAGAAAAGTGATTTCTATATGGATTGCCATATAGGTTCATATTGCTCTATCTGGCCCAATATGGTTTGGGTGTGAAAAAATTATTACCATATAGATCCATATTCAACCATATAGGGGAATCTATATGGTTTAATATGCAATTTTCGTTTAAATATATATACATTTTAAAATGGAATTCCATATTCAACCATATAAGGAAACCTATATGGAAAGATACATAAAACAGAAACCAGATAAATCCATATAAAAATCCCTAAGTTGTACATTTTAAAATGAAATTCCATATTAAACCATATAGATTCCAAAGTGTAAACCAGGTCGTTCCATATAGGACATATAGAACCATATAAATCCATATTAGTTTCCTTATCTGGATCAATATGGGTTCTATAGGGCATTTTTAATAGGGCCCTATTAAAAATGCCATATAGAAACACAAAATAAAAATCTATCTGGTTCAATATAGGAATTTGAAACAGGCATTGCACTATTGAACCAGATAGAATTCCATACCTGGAAAACCATATAGAAAAGTGATTTCTATATGGATTGCCATAAAGGTTCATATTGCTCTATCTGGCCCAATATGGTTTGTGAAAAAATTATTACCATATAGATCCATATTTAACCATATAGGGGAATCTATATGGTTTAATATGCAATTTTCGTTTAAATATATATATACATTTTAAAATGGAATTCCATATTTAACCATATAGGGAAACCTATGTGGAAAGACACATAAAACAGAAACCAGATAAATCCATATAAAAATCCCTAAGTTGTACATTTTAAAATGAAATTCCATATTAAACCATACCTATAGATTCCAAAGTGTAAACCAGGTCGTTCCATATAGGACATAATATATTATAGAACCATATAAATCCCTATTAGTTTCCTTATCTGGATCAATATGGGTTCTATAGGGCATTTTTAATAGGGATATTATACCTAGAAATCACTTTTCTATATGGTTTTCCAGGTATGGAATTATATCTGGTTCAATAGTGCAATGCCTGTTTCAAATTCCTATATTGAACCAGATAGATTTTTATTTTGTGTTTCTATATGGCATTTTTAATAGGGTAATTATTACCCTATTATAATTAGATGTGTAGCTACTACTAGTATACTACTTAAATTAAACTAATTTGATTGTGAATATTTTTGTACTGGATAAATTATAAATAAATTATTTTTTTAAGGTATTTGCTTGTATGTTGTCAGCCACAATCCACTGCAGACATTTGATGGTTTGGAAAATTTTTGCCCCAAAGCTGATTTTTGAATCCATAGGAATGATTGTAACCATAGCATCAGTATTCTTAGGTTATTTAGTTTTGATTAGAATTAACAAAAAGGTGGACAAACTTGTATCACACCTAAACAAAATAAGTTGATTTATTTTAAATTATTTTTTATTTTCATTCCAATCTAGTCGATTCTAAACCATTTTACCTCACTGTACAAGACTGTAAGTATATTGAATATAATTATATTAATAATATTGGAATAAATGATCACATTTTTTTTATTAACTAAAATGTTTTAAATTGACGGGATTTTATAGATTTCTAGGTAAAATTATTACCGTAATTATTACCGTAATAATGCTACCATTCTAATATTTGTGTGAGCCCACAAGTTTTATTATTGAATAATTATTATTTGAGTATTAGGTACTCCAATAAATAATATAGGTACAATATTTTGCGTTAACCTTTTCTCAGTATTTTGTATGTAAGTACCTACTGCCATTATTTTATAGATACATACTTACCTACCTAATTGTCTTGTTATTTGTTATATTTGTGTAATGTATATTATGGAATGTTTCCGCATTGAATAAAGCGTTTTTAATTAAGCTATATTTTATTTAAATAAGGTTTGCACTAATTTTTTAAACCTCACTAATACACAGAACCCTAGGCACAGAACACAATCTTTTATAATCTTTGAACACAATCTAATAATCTTGACAGCTAAAGATGACAATTTTTACATGTTTTGACAATGACAGCAATCTTTTCAAATATATTTAAAAAGTGTGCTGTGGCAATTGATACCTTCCCGCCTTCCAGATTGAAAATCGTGTCAGTTATTTTTTGTAAAATTTCTAACAAATTTTCCTTGATAATATGGAAGATACAAAGTCTTTGTTAGCGTTAGTTCTTCAAAAAGTGTTTTATAATGAACCTAAAGTCGTCGAAGACACTTATAAACATATATTTAATTATAACAATGGGGAAAAAGATAAAGAAGGATATGAAAAGGTAAAAATATTTTGTAGTAAATGAGATATTTAAATATAATATAATTTTTAGACTTTAAAAACTATTTATGAATTTATGAATGATAAACTTCCTCCAGAAATATTAGTCTATCTTTTTACGTTAGTTGAAATGCCAAAAGAAGACGGCTGTCAACTGCCAATTATGGAAAAAATGCACAATTTATACTCTGTTATGCAAAAAACTCAGAATTTATTGCCTGAAAGGTTTGTCATATTTAATAAACAGAGAATAGCCAATTTATTTTATTAATTTTTAGCGTAAGACCGCATTTATTGGGGTACCTAAATAATCCTGAAAATTGTATGGAAAAGCCTGTCAAAAAAGAATCAAAAGGCATACCCAATAAAAGATCTGCGAGAACGGATGAATTTTTAAAGCCAGCTAAGAGAGCAAGGACTAAAAAGAAGTTTGGAAAAACAATCGCGCCTGAAAGTTCAGGTGGGTAAAACTTTGAAACTGAATTTATATTTTTATACCTAGCCACTTTTATTTTAAGATGAACAAAAAAAACTAAGAAGTTTACTTGACATTACCGCCAATTATGTAATAAAAAATGAGCAACAACTCAAACAGTATTACAAAAGTAAACAGGAAGCAGCTTGGAAATTAATACACTCCAACTGTTATTCAGGAAATACTTTAAAACAATGCTATAAAACAGTGGAGGATTTAAATAAAAAGAACAAATTATTGAGAATGATAGAAAACGATAACATTACCAATGACATATTTTTTGATGAGTATCAGGAAAGCGACATATTTTTAAAGGAAAAACACATGTATGAAGCAGTTTATAGGGATCCCTTTGAAGTAACACAAGAATTAATGGATGGAATTAAGATGTTCTTAGAAAAACAGTGTTAACTTATTGTATAAATGTGTGTTTTAAGATAAATATTTTTTGTTATTTATATTTAGTTATTTTTAATAAATAAATTGAAATTACCACGTAAATTTCCTTAAAGTTGGCAGTTCGTACCCACTCTATATTGATTGAAGTTCTGATTGGTGGGACTTTTACTGGAACAACCAATAAACGATTATTTTAGGTATTCGAAAAGATGGCTGCGTTGCCGTCTCCAACTCAGGTAAAGTCGTGTATTTTACGGTAATTACTGGAAAAATTAAAGTAAATTCGTGTTCAGTTTAAGTATTTAGTGCCCTTTATTATGTGAAAATAGTGCCTTCAAATTATTTACTCATTTAATGGGTTATATTTGGCGATACACCATTTACCATATCTCGGACTGTCAGTTCTGTGGGCGGTGTTTAGCTTAATATTTTTATCAATAATTGATAAATGTCAGTTTAAATGAAGGGAAATTAAAGTGTCATAAAAGTCCAAATCTTTCCATCTGTTGAATTTCTCGTTTGACACTGTCACACCCCTGACATTTCATTTAAAAAATGTCAAATGTGTCAGTGTCAGAATTAAAATACCTATCCAACTGAATTTAGCTTGCTTAGTAACTGGTATTTTATTCTTTAGGTCTCTGGGCCCAACAATGCAATATATGAAGCCTATTATAATGTGGTATGTTGCAGAAATAAATTACACAATGATAATGTTAGAAAATCAATTAAATCAATTAACTAGCAGATATTTTAATAAGAAAACACAAGCATAGCAATACAATATTATTTTAGGTTGATCCTAAAGGATTTGGGTCAATTGGGGGATTGGAAGCGGCAAGGTTCCTTAAAAAATCCGGATTAAGTGATGTTATGTTGTCAAAAATATGGGACCTTTCTGATCCAGGTGGAAGGGGCAGTCTGGACAAGGCAGGGATGTTCGTAGCATTAAAACTAGTAGCCCTAGTACAAAATGGCAAAGATTTATCTATAAAAAATGTTAATTTGGATGTGCCTCCACCAAAAATGGTAATTATAGACTTGGATAATGATAACTATTATTAATATTATGTTGTGTGTTTAATTTAAATTTTATCTTTAAAATATTTTGAAATACACTGCTATTTTAACCACACATAAGGTGCTTTCAAACTGACCATTTTGAGCACTCAATGTTTAAAGTTTGTATTTCCATAACTCTAGTATTTCACACTCATTGTAGCATATGGGCTTTACTGTGTGCTTAAAATGTTCAATTGGAAAGCACCTATACTGCCCTACTATGGAGAAAGGCAGTAACTACTAAACAAGAAATTTGTGGAAAATTAGCATATACTACATTTTTATAAAAAGCAGTATTTGAATACATTTCTGTGTTGAATTCGGTTTCAAAATGTCCATAGCTTTACCATAGCACAAGAAAACACATTTTGCATTTTTTTTGCAGTTACTGCCTTTCTCCATAGTAGGGCAGTATAGGTGCTAATTCACTATAATAGTGAACCCAGTTTTTAAAAATGTGGTTTGTATTAATAAGTTAGTAATTTCAATAGACTTTATTTATACTAAAGAACTTTAAAATATTTATTATTTATTAATATTTAATAGGTATAGGTACTTATAAATTATAAACTTAAAAAACCTACAGGGTTTTAAATTAAGACTTTTAACTATATGTGGTTAAAATGTGCATTTCAAGATATTTTAAAGATAAAATTTAAATTATTTTTAATGTGGACACATAATAACAGCATTTTTTGTGTTTTGTGTTTCTTGTAGTCAAAGTGGAGTATACAACCCGGTTATAAACTTTTCTAGACACTCGTGACTAAAATGCCATTTGTTTACTTAAAATATCACCCATCATCTGGTATTATTATAGCAATAGTGCGCCATTTTTTGGACACTCAGTATAAAAAGTCGTAGAACAAAACCTAAAATGCAAAATTGTAAATAATCCATCTTGGTTTTTCTGACATAATATTTTAATAATTATTAAAACTATAAATATGTAACTTAAAAATAAAAACAAAGTAATTTTTATTTTTTAAATATTTACATTTAGTTAATATTTGGAAATAATGTTTTATTGCATTCTTTATAGGGAGATGTACCATTACCAAAACCTGTAAAACCACCACCACCAAGCAATTCACCCCTTATTACATCACTACCTCCTTCAGCAGTTGATTGGACTGTAAAACCTTCAGAAAGAGAAAATTATAATAAACTGTTTGAGTCTTTGCAACCCTTAAATGGACTTATTCCAGGAAATAAAGTATATATTACATCATATTTTATTTTATTTATTACTATTTATGTATTTTCTGTAATTTTTAGGTTAAACATGTTCTTATGGAATCGAAACTACCCTTTGATACATTGGGTAAAATTTGGGACTTAGCAGATCAAGATAAGGATGGAATGTTGGATAGAAACGAATTTATTATTGTAAATAACAATCAAAACTTTTATTTGTAAACATAATAAATTACATGTTTTTTTATTATTTTAGGCTATGCACTTGGTTTACAAGGCTCTAGAAAAACACGCTATTCCCAACACACTTCCGCCGGAACTTATGCCTCCAGCAAAAAGAAAAAATTCAATTTTACGTGGCGGCGGCGGTTTAGACGGCATGAAACCGGACCTTCCGCCTCCTGTTGTCACTGGTCAACCGCTAATTGCTGCTCCGCCTCTGCAACCACCATCCAGTGGCGTGGTCACCGCCACCGTTAAACCTGTAGTCCAACAAGTAAGTAACATTCGAAAATTACCGCGGTCGCACAGTATCCAAAATTATTTTTTCGAAAAAAAGCAAATACTTATTTTTAACAATTCTAAGGACTATTATTTTAAATTATCTTTAAATCCAATGTGGCGTCAAAGATTGTAAATGTATGAACAAATTTCTTATATTGTTTTATTGTTTGTGATTGGGGAAATTAATGAATGGTTTAAAATAAAAAACTGAAAACCTGTCAAAACCAAAAATCGTTATAACTTGTCATTCCTGGGAATTTTGATAAAAGTACGCTTTACATCTAAACATACACATTTATCCACATTTTAATCCAAGTTGTTTATTTTGCCTACTAGATTTTGAGATACTACCACCATCCTTTGTTTTTCCTACGGCCGTCATATTGGAAAATCAAGGAATACAACAATTTATTAAACTACATAAGTTATGGCGGCCGTTATAAAAACAAAAGATGAGACTTAAAAGTTTTGAGGTAGTTGTCGTGCTGTAAGCATACCATCAGAAAATTAAATTTTTGTATACTTATTAAGGACATGGCAATACAATTATCCTTAAAATTTGAAGTCGATTGACCATCTATAACCCGAGATAAATTCAATTAAAAATTGGATAATTAACATGGATTGTATACGCTTTCTGTAGTTCTGTTCCAGTTTCTTAGTTATAACAAAAAAAACTGTAAGAAGCTTTCAAAAAACTAACAGTCTTTTAATGTATTTTTGCTGAGTTTAAAAAAAAATAATTAAAAATTTTTGACCGTTTAAAGTTCAACAATTTGTAAAAAGTATACATCACTAGTGTAAGATAAAAACAACTTAGCAACGCTGTACGCGAGTAATAATAAATAATATTTCCGCAGTAAATTCAAACAAACTGATTCAGTCTCCAATATATCTATTGGTTGAGCATAAGCGACGTTGCCGGATTAAAACTTATGAAAATATTTGAAAGTATTACGTAAAGGTAACGTCTCCAGGGTACAGTCTTGAGAAAAAATTATGAATCACTTGGCTACAAGCTCATATACTTTTACGGTGCGTATAATCTAAAATTGTTTAACAATATTGTACCACGACAACTACCTTAAGTTAAAACATTAGAAATTGGATGAGATGTAGAATTATGTGTATGTTTACATCTTGTTAAACTTACTTTGTTTTAAAATTTCCAGGAATAACGATTTTTGGTTTTGAAAGGTTTTTATTGTTTTTTATAATAATAATAATAACTTTATTAACGGTATGACCAATTTACAATACAGGTAAATAAAAAAATATAATACAACACAATGTAAACAAATGCAAAATACATATACACATATACAGTGTGTTTTAAAACGAATAGATACACTTAAATAAAACAAGTGCCAAACCCCGCCCACTGTGGTAGGGAAGTTATTTTCGTTATTTTAGAATTATTTTTGTTTGAGAATTTATAGGTTTTATTTTTATCGAATTCGTTTGTTTTGTTTTAATGCATTTCTGCAAATAAAAAGTAAGTATTGTTTAAAATCCATTAAATTCCAGTTAATGGCGAAAATGTATTTCTTAAAAACTATACACATTTCCCTACGACAGCGTCGAAGCTACTGAACAAACACAGTAGATCAAACTGCATGCCCTTGTATCTGGCTGCATGACGCGCTGTTGCCATATGCTATTATTGTTTCCTAAAAGAGTTGTTTTTCTTATTTTTTAATATTAAAAGTAAGAAAATTAACTAAATCAAATTATTTTTGACATATTAATTTTTTTTTTATTTTTAAAGTTTCAAACAAATAAAATTGAACTATTTATTAAATAATTATAATCGTTCTCTTCTGATTTAAAACAACCTGGCAACTATGGTTCGTAATTACGAATGGCTTGGTTTAAACCACGCCCAATTAAAGTTTCTTTCTTTTTCTCTGATCAGAATATAATTTGTCATCCTTGTCTCCAGCCTTACTTACTTGATTCTATACAGTCTGTATATTACAATATGTTAAAATTTAATTCTGAGCTTATGGGTCATTCCACGATACTCGGTAATTTTTGTCCCGCCCGTCACAATTAAAAATTGTGAGTAAAAACCACAAGTTATTAAATTAATATTTTATAATATTATTTTTAGTGTGCTTATAACTTATTAAAATCATAATAAACAATATTTTAAAATAAATTTTATAACGTGTAGTTTTTACTCACAATTTTTAATTGTGACGGGCGGGACAAAAATCCCCGAGTAACGTGGAATGCCCCTTATGCTTAAATGTCCGCAAAGAAACATTAAAAAAGTCTATTTCTAGCTTATTCGCATTCGCACATATTCGATTTAGTGGCATAAATCTAGCATATTCAGTTCTTTGCGTTTTTAAGTAAAACTAATGGTTTTGCCTCGTTTGCCTTTGAAGAATATTAAAATGTATTATTTGAAGCAGCTCAGGACTGTTTATTAAATTATTTAAAAGTTTATACAGAAAAACCAGACCATGTTCAGTTCTTCATAATTTTATGTCGATTAAATCTCTTATAAACATATAGTCTAGGTTTTCTGTACTCACATTTAACTTATATGCACTCAAATATTTTGAGTACCGCTGTTTTTTTTTCCAATTTAAATTTCATCAAATAAAAAGAAACCTTAAAAGTATACACATAGAAGGATACTTGGTGCACCCTGTTTACTAATTAATTAAGTATTTTTTGTTATAAAATTCGGTTAAGATGTTTTTTATATTTCATGCTCACCGCAAACGTTTGAAAAAAAAGACGCTCGGGGCGAGTGCTGTAGTTTCCACAATTTTCTAAAATTTCGCATGAATTTTTTCGTATACACTTCGAAACAACACTATTCGATATTTTGTAGTTCGTTTCAATAAAATTATTAATTATTAATACTTACCTAGGTGGTCATTTGTACTAAAATATTGTACTTTTCAATTTTTTTTATTTTGTTAAGAACACTTCTAAGATAATCATTATCAGCAAGATTTTTCTAGTAAGAACATAATCATTAATATTAGAGTTATCCAAATCTAATGTACCAGCATGTTGTTTGTCATGAAAATATAAAAACTATGTTAAACAAATTCCTTTTCAATGATTCGATTTTTTCAAATAATGTATTGCCAGAGTCCCAAAAGTCTTTGTGCTATTGTCAACATAAGAGGTTCTATTTACAATATTATATTGTAAATAGAACCTCTGTGCCATGGAGCTATACACAAGGAGTCCGAACTTCATCTAAACAAGAATCTTCCTAAGATAAGAGGGCGCTGATGTTCCGTTTGTTCTGAAACAATGGACTAATTTGTACCGAAACACTACCAAAAGAGCAGACGTTAGTACGCATCGACATTCAGCGAAAAAAAATACTTAATTTGTGCAATTATAAACGAACTGTTTGCTCCAAAACGCTTCTCAATAGCATATACTCAAATACTAAATTTTGTTCATAAAGTCATAATTGATGTGACAGCTCTATGTCACCTTGACATTGACGGAAAAGTTTTATTCACAAAGCCACAATATAGCTGTATAAGTTTTTTTTGTTAGTGATAGTACATCTTTGCTTGCTCCAATTTTTTTATTTAAAAGTCTAGCAACCGTTATTTATGAACGGATTTTTCAAAGCAACCCTATACTACTGTATTCCTAATAAAATTGCCTTCATTTTGATATATTTTTTAAGTGGTAAGCATATGAGTGCAATTACTGATATCAACTTACCTGTTTGTACAAAGCAACCAGGTAATAGGGACTAGAAAAAGGAAGGCAACCTAGCTGTTACATATTCTGTATGTTGTATGCTTTCCATTGGAATTTCGTTTATTTGGCAAGCAAGTAAGTGAAATTTTAAAAATAAATTATTTTTTTAATTTTTTATTTATTATAGCCATGATCATATTTTTTATGGCAACCCTATTGGTATATGTTCAGAAACATATTTTATTTGATAAAATATAATTTTCATCTGGTAAGCAGATGAGTGAAGGTCGACCTTACTTGGGATCCTCTACTATTAGCACGCGGCAGTATAATACTGATGAATTTATTACTTAATGTTTAAAGTGTCCTCCATTAACATTCAAGCATTTTTTAATTTTTACTTTTACATTAGACGTTTCTCTTTTTGACCAAAATATTGTTGGTTTCTTAGATTGTTACAGTTACGCATTCTTTTTGTTATTAAAATATTTCATAAAATAAATTTTATATTTTATTGTCTCCAATGAGCTAGTGCTTCATCTACACCTCAAATGTATTTCAGAAAGCGGCAAATGTATTTCAGAAAGCGTTAAATGTATTTCATCCGCTGGTGAAATTCTGATGATATAAATCGGACCACCCTGTATATCAGGTGTATAAAAAGTTATAAAATAATAAACATAACAAGCGACGATATTGTAAACAAAATAAATAATAAATAAATAAATAAAGTTTTTATTGCATATTCAGTACAATACAGAACCTATAATACAAAATATACAAAAGGCCATCCACCGGGGTCCTTCAGCCTATAAACAAAATATTTTCTGTAGTAAACCTTACTTTTTGTGCATTTTAATTTTGTTTTTATTTGCAGCAGGCTCCACCTCAGCCACCTTGGGTGGTAAGTGCAGAAGAAAAGGCAAAATCAGATACTCTCTTCATAAAAAGCGACATTGATAAAGACGGTTTTGTATCTGGAGGTGAAATAAAAGATGTATTTTTGCAATCTGGGGTTCCTCAGCCTGTTTTGGCGCATATTTGGTAAGTCATTCAATTACACAGTAGTAACATCAAAAAGACACAAAAAATCGCCGGTACTTAATTATGGGGTGTAGAATCCAGTGGAGTAATCAGTTTTTAGCTCGTTTTCTTAATATATTTCATATTTAAGTTTTTGTAACTTTTTGGTTTATTATTTGTGTATATTTTGAGAAATACCAAAAAGACACAAAAAAACGGGACATAATTTTTGGGTGTAGAAATCAGTGGTGTAATCCGTTTCTTAAAATTAAGTCGTTTTTTCAAGATATTTGAAATTTTGTGTTTAAATATTTTTTTATTTGTTATTTTGCCCAACCCTGTATATATATATATATATATATATATATATATATTAAGACACCATAATCCCTCTTAAAATATCTTTATTATTTTGTTTATTTATAATTAACATGTTTGGCCAATTCCAATTTTAAAATCTATTAAAATTTATTTATTTCTAAAAAATTATTATTTATCAATAATAAACTTTTTTTGTCAGTTCCTAGTATAATATATTAAAATTAATTTATATTTAAAAAAAAATAAAAAAAAACCACTTAAATAATGAGTTGTAAAGAATGTAAAAAATGTTTAATTTTATGCCTCTTTGAAGATTGACCAACAAAAATCAGCAAGCATCGAGTCCAATTTTTTGCCAGAAAACTGATCTTGAAATGACATAATGGTTTGATGAAATCGTTCACCACCTTCAACGGATTCGGTTGAAAGTTGTTTTTCATAAAACATTTTTAGCCACATATTTATACTTACTTAACCACAAAAACTTTGTAGCAAAGAATTCTTTAAATTGTAAAAACTAAAAACAACATTTATACAGGCTGTGCTGCACAAAATTTTTTTTTATTATAAATAATAGCATACCTAGTAAATGAAATTCTCAAATTTTATTAAATTCGAATATTTCCACTAATACCAGACAATAAAATTTACTAAAAACAAATTTAATTACAAAAAAAAGAAATATGCGAAAAATCTTATAAAATTAAAAAAATATGAATAATATCGGCATAAACACGAAAGTTATTAATTTAACAGACAAAAATTTATGAATTAAAAATAAATACAGACATTTTAAAACGGGTTATGCTATCTTTTTCTTTAAAAATATAGCAAAATGGTGAAACAAAAAACTTAAATATTTAATATCTTGAGAAAACGAGCTAACATTAAAAAACTGATTACACCACTGAATTCTACACCCAAAAATTAGGTTTACGCGTCCCGGCGTTTTTATGTGTCTTTTCAAAAGTTGGAAATTTACCTACAGTGTTATTAGTGTTTATTATAAGTTTATTTATTTGACCTATAAAAATAACCATGCACCACAAAGTTTACTGTATTTGTATATTTGCATATTTATTTTTAGCACCTCCTAATTACCAACTTGTTTTGTTTTAAGTAGTAATATAAAGTAATTTAGTAATAATCAAGTAAAATTTACTTTTTTTCAAATCTCACTTAAACTTGTTTTAAAATTATAAATTTATTACTAAAGTTATTTCTTAAAGGTTTTTATGTGATATTAAACAAAGCGGCAAACTAAATAATGAACAATTTGCATTGGCCATGTGGTTTGTGGCAAGATATTTAAAAGGCATCGAACCTCCAGCACAACTTGCTCCTGAAATGATTCCACCTACCTTTAGAACCAACAAGCCTACAGAAGGATTAGTGGTAAGTAAAATACAAATATTTTTGTGCTATCAATTTATTCAAGAGTTTGTAAGGTCATTTTTTGCAAGCAGTGGGTCTTGTCCCAACTTTGAGTGTTTTCTACCCAAAAATACTCTTAAAAATATCAAAATAAAAGTGCTTAAAATTATTATGATCCCAAATAACATAATGTGATGGTTAAAGTTAAGTTCTATTCTCTTTTCCACTACTAATTGAACTACACCAGCCAGTTCACTGTCTTGCCAACAACTAAACATTTTTTTATATACATATTAGGTTTTTTTGCTTTTAATTTAACATTACCTATAGTATTTACTATCGTGTATAAGCGCCTTTTTTATATGTATCCTGTCAGATATACTGACAAACATTCTACCTTTCGATTCTTGCTCTATAAGTTCCGGTATTACGTTAAGACCTCCGATTTGCCACTGTATTGGAGCATCATTATTCATGCTTCTTTAAATTAGAATTTGATTAATAAACCTTAACTATATATTTTTCTTACCCTGGGCATGTTATTTCTACTAGTTTTCCTTTAACTCCGTATTGTAAACGTCTCTGCACTTCAGGCTCTATTGGAGGATCACCTTGAAACATTGAGTACACTCCAGCGGAATTGTTTGCAACTTCAATAATGTTACCATTTTTGTCTTTTACTTCAAAAAGGACCGCTTTTGGGCATTCAATCTAAAAAAAAGGAAAAACAATAAAAATTACTTCTTAAACGGTGTCCGGAAAATACGTCTACAAAAGACGTTATGTAGAACAATTTAACCCAACCTATACTCAAAAATATGTCAATCGATTTTAATACACTCCTCCAAGAAATTAACGCACCACCAAAAAATTACCTAAAAGTTTTAAGTAAATTTTTGTCAAAACCAATTGTCCGATTTGAACGTTTTTTTTTAATAATAGGTTGTCCCTTTCACAATGTTGGTATACTAACTGTATTCCGATAGACATTTTTTTACAAATACCGGGTGTAGCAATTATAGCGTATTTTTTTTCATAAAATTTGTAACATTCTGTAGAGTTTAACAGTTACAATATCAAGTTAAAATTGAAATCAAACTTTATAGTAGAGGATCCCAAGTAAGGTCGACCTTCACTCATCTGCTTACCAGATGAAAATTATATTTTATCAAATAAAATATGTTTCTGAACATATACCGATAGGGTTGCCAAAAAAAATATGATCATGGCTATAATAAATAAAAAATTAAAAAAATAATTTATTTTTAAAATTTCACTGACTTGCTTGCCAAATAAACGAAATTCCAATGGAAAGCGTACAACATACAGAATATGTAACAGCTAGGTTGCCTACCTTTTTCTGGTCCCTATTACCTGGTTGCTGTGTACAAACAAGTAAGTTGATAACAGTAATTGCACTCGTATGCTTACCATTTGAAAAATATATGAAAATGTAGGCAATTTTATTACGAATACAGTATAGGGTTGCTTTGCAAAATCCGTTCATAAATAACAGTTGCTAGGCTTTTAATTAAAAAAAATACAGCAAGCAAAGATGTATGACAGAGAAGCATTGCGCGTACTATTTGATGCGATAGAGGAGGACTCAGTACAACAGCATGCTTTCTACTTATATAAAAGGATAAAACTAATATCTGTACCTCAGAGCAAAAGGGCATTAAGACCAAAATTTAAATTTTTTGGTTTTTCGATTCAAGTTTTGCAATCTTTTTACTAATTTGCCTTCAATTATGTTTGGACCAAAATACCATTTAATAAAGGTATTAGTACCGCATAACTCCTAGTGCAAAACAAAATTTTGTTTTCGCTCTCCTGTAAAATTTGGAGCAAACAGTCAGTTTGTAAACACGTGTTTTGTGAAAAAATAAAAAATGGCGAAGAAGTATTTTTTATGCAAATCAAATGATTCTGTGATTGATTTTAATGGAAAAGATTTTAAAACAGTCACTTTTTTATAACATGAGGAGTGATATCCTACCAAGTCTATTAAATGTTCGTTTAACTGTACCTCACTATACTTTTTCGGTACGCTAACTTCAAAAAACAATTCTTAAAAGATTTTTCATCAAAGTCAATCACTGATTCACTTGATTTACATAAAAAACACTTCTACGACATTTTTATTTTTTTCACAAAACACCTGTTTATAAACTAACTGTTTGCTCCAAAACGCTTCTCAATAGCATATATTCAAGTACTAAATTTTGTTCATAAAGTCATAATTGATGTGACAGCTCGATGTCACCTTGACATTGACGGAAAAGTTTTATTCACACAGCCACAATATAGCTGTATAAGTGTTTTTTGTAAGCGATAGTACATCTTTGCTTGTTCCAATTTTTTAATTTAAAAGTCTAGCAACCGTTATTTATGAACGGATTTTTCAAAGCAACCCTATACCCGAGGCGGGACTTAACTTCGATCCCGACATACGTCACACACTGTAAATCCGTTTTTATTCCCCGAGCTTTTATAATTGGTGTCAAGCTTGATGGCTTAGATGTTAGGGCGGTCGCTTGGCATGCGAGAGGTACCGGGTTCGATTCTACTAGAAGTTGTCAAACTTTTTTTATTTTTTTTATTTTATAAATTTGTTGTTTCTTTGTTAAAAAGTGTTTTATTTTTATCGTAACATAAATTTGCCCATTTTAGTTGGGTTTTATGCTCAATGGGGCGGGGGGGGCCCAATGGGGCGGGGTCGGTTGGGTTGTGTTGTTGAGTTTGGGTTGGTTTGGTTTTATGACTAAACTAACGTGCCCTTAACATGTATACAGGTACAATTTATTATTATTATTATTTTATTATAACATAACAAATCTTAAAATTATGACGTCAATCGGGACTGAACTTAAGTCCCGCCTCGGGACGGGAGCCACAGCGAATAAAATTGCCTTCATTTTGATATATTTTTTAAGTGGTAAGCATATGAGTGCAATTACTGATATCAACTTACCTGTTTGTACAAAGCAACCAGGTAATAGGGACCAGAAAAAGGTAAGCACCTAGCTGTTACATATTCTGTATGTTGTATGCTTTCCATTGAAATTTCGTTCAATTGGCAAGCAAGTCGGTGAAATTTAAAAAATAAATTATTTTTTTAATTTTTTATTTATTATAGCCTTAATCATATTTTTTATGGCAACCCTATTGGTTTATGTTCAGAAACATATTTTATTTGACTATTAGCCTTATCTTTTTTTACATTTTGTTTTTTTATTTACTCCATTATATTTCATATTACACGAGTTACAACATTTTATAGGATAGCATGATTTTATTGGTTTTACTGAGCATTTTACTCACTAAAGGCTATGGAAAAATATGAAATGTCAAATTCTGATGCTTATTGTCAGTATCAATCCTTGTATCGATCAATATTCATCTTACTCGCAAAGAAAGTGCCCAAGCATTAATATTGTTTGAGGAAGGTTGGAGCTACCGAAGAATTGGTGAAAGATTTTATGTAACTCACACAACCATTTCACGAGTTATACAACGAAATAGAGAAACTGGAAGTAATACTCGCAGGCCGGGACAAGGAAGGAAACGAAAAATTCCTCCGATTCAGGAACGGTTTTTAAGACTCTCAGCATTGAGACAACGTTTTGTAACAGCTCGGACCCTTCAAACTCAGCTTCGAGATGCTGATGTTTACAAGTTTGTAGAGAAACTGTTCGTCAGCGACTAAGGGAGCATAATTTGAGACCTAGAATTGCTGCTCAAGGTCCATCTTTAACTAGAGTTCACTGAAGAGTAAGGCTAAATTTTGCCAGGGAGCATTGTAACTGGTTGGCGTCTGAATGACAACAGGTATTATTTACGGATGTCCTAATTTTGCTTGTACAATAATGACAGGCGTATGCGTGTATATCGACGCCCTAACGAAAGGTATGCTCAATGTAATTTCTCGCATACAACATTATTTGGAGGAGGATCTCTGATGGTCTGGGGGGATATTTCTTTGACTGGTCGCACGAAACTTGTCATCGTAAATGGTAGCCTTACAGCTGAAAGGTACATACTGGAGGTGTTAGATCAACAGTTAGATCAAGCGTCATATATAGGGCAAGGATTTTTGTTGATGCAAGATAATGCCAGGCCTTACGTTGCTGGAGTTGTGGCATGGCCAGCTCGGAGCCCGAACATAAATCCCATAGAGAATCATTGGGACACTCTTGGGAGGAGATTACAAGAGAAACGCAACGTAAACACTTTGGAAGACGTACGGCAGAGACTTATTCCAATATGGGAAGAACTGGACCAAAATGACATAAGGTCTCTAATTTTAAGTATGGGCTGTCGTTGTCAAGAAGTTATTCGTACCAGAGGTGGAAATACTCGTTACTGACCCTTTCGTTTTAATTGGTTTGTTAAATTTTGTATCGTTTTTTTGTTAATAATTTGAAATAAAATCATGTTATCCTATAAAATGTTGTTACTCGTGTAATATAAAAGATAATGGAGTAAATAAAAAAACAAAATGTAAAAAAAAGATAAGGCTAAAGTTTCATTTCAATTTTAACTTGATATTTAAGCTGTTTAACTCTACAGGGTGTTACAAATTTTATGAAAAAAACACGCTATACTTGCTACACCGGGTATTTGTAAAAAAAATGTCTATCGGAATACATTTAGTATACCAACATTGTGAAAGGGACAACCTATTATTAAAAAAAAACGTTTAAATCGGACAATTGGTTTTGACATAAATTTACCTAAAACTTTTGGTTATTTTTTTGGTGGTGCGTTAATTTCTTGGAGGAGTGTAGTTGGGCATAGGTTTTTATTTTAGTACATTGGTGGATCATAATTTTGTTGTCCTTGTGTGATTCAGTGAATAGCAAAGATACAATCAAGAAGACTTTATTAATAGACTCTTCTTGGATACAATAATGACCATTTTTGCAATTTGCAAAGAATAGTGATAACCTGGTTAGTTGCCCATAAAAGACGTGAAACTTAAAAAACAGTGTTTTGTTTTTATACATTAGTACATTATGGACATAGAGTTCCATCAAGTAAAAATCGAAACAATAAAATGTCCCTAAAGGCAGTTTAGATTTTGATGTCAACGGAATGATATTAGTTAGGGAGCTGGTGGCAGAAATTTTTAAGTCATTTGCTCGCGTGGCAGAAGTTGAAAATAATGAAGTTTGGAATATAAAAGTCACTAATGACAACTTCTGCCATACCATTATTGCTGCATTATTAATTAAATAGGTAAAAAAAAGAATGTCCTTAAGTCATTTGCTCGCGTCTGGCATTTTTTTTAACTTGAAGTCCCTAAAAGACTTTCAGATAAATATCATCGCCAGACGTGTATGTCTCTGCATTAATGAGTATTTAATTTTTTTTTTAAATTATGATATATAAAAATTTAAATGATTTGATCGTCAATAAAATTTATACAAAATGTTAATTGGGTCATAAAAAAGCAAAAAATAAAAGTCTGCCATTTAATGTTTACTGCGATAATGAACGAAGAATTTTGAAAATTGTAAAAAAAATTAATATTAAGTTATTTGCTCGTGTCTGGCTCTTGGTTAAATTATTCTGTTGTATGTCAGAACTGTGAATATAACTATGCCAGACATGAGTATTGCTGATTTTTTATAGCCAGAACGCTTTTAGGTTAGGGTAGGTATTTTGAGAAAAGGCTATTACAATCGGTTTTTTTTTACTTATAACGT